GATACATTAAGCCCTTAAACTAAAATTCACTCTTCTTTCCCTTTTCTGGCAAATTAACATATACATCAGTATATATTTTTAATCATTTTATTAGGGGCTCATACAACTCTTATCACAATCCATACATACATCAATTGTGCAAAATTTAATTTCATACCATACCATACATTTGTACATTCATTGCCCCCATCATTCTCAAAACATTTTCTCTCCACTTAAGCCTCCAGCATTAGGTCCTCATTATTCCGCTCCCTCCCCTCAGCCCCCTCCCTCATGAGCCCTTGATAATTTATAAATTATTATTTTGTCATATCTTGCCCTGTCCGATGTCTCCCTTCACCCACTTTTCTGTTGTATGTCCCCAGGGAGGAGGTCACATGTAGTTCCTTGTAATCGGTTCCCTCTTTCCAACCTACTCTCCCTCTACCCTCCCAGTATCGCCACTCACACCACTGGTCCTGAAGGGATCATCCGCCCTGGATTCCCTCTGTCTCCAGTTCCTATCTGTAAATCAGCATATTTCTAAGGCCTTTCCCATTCATCCCAATCTAAATATTCTTTTAGCATCTCCTTTCTCTTTATCCTCAGTGTTCAACAGTTTGAAGTTAATGTTTTTGTTTTGTTTTTTGTTAACCTCTCACATTACTTTATAACAATATTTACAGATCTTTTTTTTTTGCTGCTGGATTGAACTCCTTGGAAGTGGATACCATGTCAAATTCACATTCTTGTCCCAAAATTCTCACAGAGTAGTTACATGACTTTATATCAACAAACTGGAAAATCCGTCACCCCTGTTTTTCCCCTCCTCTGCTTTACTAACAAACAGCATCCAGGGGTGACCCCACATAAGCATCCTTACCCAGAAAGCTGTTGGCATCCTGTCATGTTTTCCCTGAACTTGGACTCACGTGCGTCTACACCCACAGTCTGTGTTTTATCTGCGTCCTGGTTCACCATTCTGTCACTAGCATGCAGCTGCATGCGTCTGAGGAGGGACATAGGGACTAGCCTCAGACTTAGGGACTTGAGCTGGACTGAGCTGGGAAACTCTCTTACTCTTGATATAAAACCTCACTGCCATCACGTCTGTGCTGACCCCTAGAAATCCCATAGGACAGGGTGGAACTGCTCCTGCGAGTTTCTGAGACTGCGATTCTTTGATTGTGTGTTGGGCCACAATCAACAAGGTTGGCTGTTCAGAATCACTAGTCACTTGGTGGGAGGAAGATGGGGCTTTCTAGCTTTCTACTCCCATAAAGAGTTACAGTCTGGCCCACAACAAGAAAAGAATAAATAACCCTCTTAAAAGGTGGACAAAGAGTTACAGCCTTGATACAAAGCTCTTTCTTCTACATAGATGAATGCTACTAGATTTGTGCCTGTAGACAACTGGGCCTTTTACCAACCTGACACATGGCAGAAACTGAGCCAATGTTTGTAAATGAAAGTAGGCAATGGAAACTTTACTTTAATTATGTTCCATTTGTAACAATGAAAACACATCCTGCAAATCAGATATTTACATGATGATTCATAACAGTAGCAAAATGACAGTGATGAAGTAGCAATGAAAATAATTTTATGGTTGGGGTCACCACAACATGAGGAACTGTATTAAAGGGTCATGGCATTAGGAAGGTTGAGAAATCCTGCCTTATATCTGGGGAGAATTGCCCTTGTGAGTTTCAGAGATTCTAGTTCTTTACCCATGGAGTGGTTGGTGGTTTCTAACTGCTGACCTTGAGCTTGACAGCCCAAGGCATAACCACCATGCCACCAAGATGCTTCCAACTGCAGGCTGTGTTTTCTCTTCATTACTTCTTTGCTCCCTAAGTGATGATCCCACAATTGGATGGAAATTGTACCTTTTAAAATAATTTATCATATTCTGCAGTAAGGAATTGGCTCTGGTTCTGTGAAAATTTCATTGTTCTATATACATGTTTTAGGGATTTAGGAACAAAAAGATCCAGGCCTATGAAAAGTATAATGAATCCCAGTATTGCCATTTGTGGTGGAATTTAGCTGCTTTGTTTGTGAGCTTCCACTACGGAAACAGATTACCTGCATCATGGACTAATACCCCGGAGTCAAGCACATGCCTGCTCCACAGTGGAAAGGCATCATGGGAGGCCAGCACACACTCTGAAGATGAATTCTCCAGGTGTGTCAGCTGGCGAAGAGGAAGCTATCACTCCAGCCCACTTCAAGCTCGGCACTGCCCTTCCCCTTTGACAGGACTCGAAGCTAATCAACAAACCGTGGATGCGTTTCAAAATTACAATCCCATTTTCATCATGATTAAAATACTTGCACAGGAAATATTAGCTACTAAGTATCTAAGAATCCAAGGAATAACAGATAAGCTCAAAGAATATTTCTAAAAATATTCAATTTCTCATATGAACAATTTAGAGTAACACAGATGTTGAAATATCATTTAGTGAGTTACTTGATCATCAGAACATTCACTCTTTACAAAAATTTCAGCTTGCTTAATTTCAAATTTTATTTAACACTGTTAAGTTGTGTTATTTTTCCATGAGAAGCTTACAAACTACAGGAACTCTTTTTTCAATGCTTGGTAAACATAGCTTCTCGTCCTCCCAATCTTTAACACACAGTGCCAATACAGTACAAAGCCAATATTCAGTTTACTGAAAATGATATGAAATCCATTGTTGTTTATGTAAAAAAATAATTAAATAAACCAAATATCAACTGTGTAAGACAACATTAAGAAAATGTCTGGCGTATTTATTCAACAAATGTTTCCTAAAAGATTTTCCTTGAAGCAAAGCAATTTCATTTTCCTTTTTATATTATTCTCAGTGGTTATAAACTTAATTAGCTTTGTATGCTTCATATTTATTTGCATTCATGATAAATGCAATCCTCTCTTAGCATAACTTTCAAAAATCAAAATATGAACTAAAATGGTGTACGTTTGATTAGGGAAACAAGAACAATAACAAGTAATCATAAAGACTAGAAGTTAATTGGTATCAGGGTGGCTCTATTTATAGTAACAGTGGGACAGAATGTCTCGGTGTCCTTTACTGTTCAACAACACTTTGTGAGAACATGTACTATAACGCCAATTGTACTGCATTTGAAATTCATGGAATTTAATGACATGAAGAGATAATGAAAGCAAAACCAAGGCTTTGCGCGGTCCGTCCTGACTCAGAGTAGCACTGCCCCACAGGGTTTTCAAGGCCGTTATCTCTACAGTAGGAGCCCCCCCTGGTCTTCTAGTGCTTCTTGCTTTGGGCTTCTACTCCCCAAGGCCAGCAGTTCGAAACTACCAGCCCCTCTGAGGGAAAAAGATGGGCATGTTACTCACTCCCATAAAGAGTTACAGTAGTTAATGGTTTCTTGGGGCTATGGCAGGGGTGGTTGATGGGAAATGAGGAGCTAATAACAAAAAGTACAAGAAAGTGTTCTAAAATTGATTGTGGTAATGCTGTACAACTCTTTTTGATATAATAGAACTATTGAATTTTATGGCTTGTAGGTATATGGATTATGCCCCCAATAAAACTGGTGGTTATTGTTATAAGAGTTACAATCTCTGAAACCCACAGAGCCAATTCTACTCTGTCCTATAGGGTTGCTATGAGTCAGCATTGACATGATGGCAGTGAGGTTATTTTGGAAATTTTTACAGAAGCAAATTACTACATCTTTCTCCCCAAAATTGGATGGCCAACTGTTGAATGGAAAACTGATGGCTCTGTGAACCTTCACCCAAAAAGTTTTTAAAACATTTAACAATTTTTTTAAAAAAATACTATGAGGAGCTAATACAATACTAAGGGCTCAATTACATTGTTATGATTTGTAAGAGCCCCCCCAATAAAATAATTAATAAAAAGAAAAAGAAAACAAAAACAAAAATTAGATTATGAGTTCAAACAGCTAAACTTTCATTTAGTCCCCAAGCACATTAACCACTATGTCACCAGGGTTCCTAAGGAAACATAAACTAATCTAAAGGCTTTTTAATCTTAAAATCAAGGTGATCTATTTTGCTAGTTCTTAATAGTCTTAAGTACCTGAATTCAAATGAGAAATTTTTATTTTTCAAAATGAGAAAAAAATCAGATTTTTTTAAAAATCATTGTATTGGGGGCTCAAACAGCTCTTATCACAATCCATCCATCCATCCAAGTGTCAAGCACATTTGTGCATATGCTGCCATGATCATTTTCAAAACATTTTCTTTCTACTTGAGCCCTTGGTATCAGCTCATTTTCTCCCTCCCTCATGAACCCTTGATAATTTATAAATTTATAAATTTATTGCCCCATGTCTTACACCAAATGCCGTCTCCCTTCCCCTGGGAATGCAACATACTGGCATGAGGCAGGGAGCCAATAGAGAGGTCTGTTGGGCTGCCCCCAATCCCAACTACATGGACCCCCACCCCCCACCCCTACCCTGAAGAATGCACTTCAGGGGATGGCACTGAAGCTACAGCTCAGGGAGAGGGACACAACTGATCAGAGCGCACGGGAGCAAATGAAGAGGGAAGGAGAGAGTGGAACCCATCCTGGCCCACCAAGCCCCGAGGATGACATTCCTGTTCAGAGCAGCCAATGCATAGAGAGGACCATAGGGCTGGCCCCACCAGGAGAAACAATGTCCCTCACTGACCCATAGCACTATGGGGGACAACACTGGAGACACAGTGCGGGAATTGTGCCCAATCTGACTGCACCACAACTGGGGCAAAACACTAAAGGCACGTAACTGAGCAGCAAGGGGAGCAAAGCAATGAAGTCCCCAGAAATACCAAAAATACTCTGGCATGGCACCCTATCAAACTTGACTGGAAAACACTCCTAAAGGTAAACTAATGAACTATTTATAGGCTTTTCTTTTTTTGTCATTGTTTTTTAATTAATTAAAAATGGTTTTTGCTGTTTTATTTTGCTCTGTCTTCTTTTAATACTTATTATTGTCTCTGCATGTCTATCTAGATAAGCAACCCAGAGGCGCGATAAACAATCTGGAGAAAACAATGGGACCATCAGGTAGGGGAAAGGAAGTGGGGTGCCAGCATACCTCAGGACAGAGACGAACCAGTCTGGGTGCAGTACAGCAGTGGTGAAACCTAGAGCTTTCCTCTCGTCCTTTAATGCTTCCCCCCCCCCACTATCTTGACCCCAATTCTACCTTACAAATCTGCCTAGACCAGAGCATGTATATATATTGAGACTTCTGATCCTAATGTTACCTTCTTCATATAGCTTTTCAGATTATTTTTCAGCATAAGTATGATGAAAAAATATAACCCTGACTCAGACCTTTCCTAATTTAAACCACAAAGTTTCCCTTCGTTTTGTTCAAACAATTAGCTCTTCATCTGTGTACAGAGTTTCCATGAGAACAAGTAGTGTTTATGTTAAATGGAGAAAGAATACCCATGATGTAGCAATCAAGAAATCAAATGACGTATTATATTAAGCAAATCTACTGAAAAAAACGTAAAGTGTTAAAGAACAAAAATGTTACTTTGAAGAATAAGGAGCCGGGTTATTTTCAATCACCTCAAGTACATATGAAATCTGGACAATAAAAAAAAAAAAACCTGAAAATGAACTGATGTCTTTGAATTGTGGATTTTCAGGAAGGACCAGTCCCTGGATGAGGACATTGTGTTTGGTAAACTGTGAGGGCAACAAAAACGTGGAAGGTCCTGAACTAGATGGACTGACACAGTGGCTACATTGGTGGGCTTATGCATGGAAACAATTGTAAGCATGGCACAGGAAGGACTGTATAGTGTTTCATTCTATTGTGCATAAGATTGATATGGGTCATCGTCCTCAAGGCCTAGTGGGCCAGGATGTGCTCCAGTTTCTCCTCCTCCTCCTTCATCTGCTCCTGTGTGCTCTGGTCAGATATATCCTTCTCCCGAAGCTGCAGATTCAGTGCCATCCTTTGAAATAAATTCTTTTTGGGGGAGGAGTAGGCATCACTTAGTATTTGGGGCTGGGACCAGCCCCCTAGACCTCTCCAC